CTGACCGGGTCTCGAACCCGTGACCTCTTGGTGCATGGGTCGATGATCAACCACTGAGCCACACCGGCCGGGCTGTACGTTTTTAACGTAGACAACTTCATAAGCTTGGAGACAAGTGTGCACACGTGAAACCATCACCGGCATCTATGCCACCAACCTTCCGTCACCTCCGAAAGTTTTCTTTTACTCTATCTATTATTATTTTTCTGATAGCACGTAACACCTACCCTCTTAGGAAAAACTTTAAAGTCTACAGCGCAGTATTGTTACCTATGGACACGATGCATACAGTAGATGCCGGTTTTCCTATTAAAGACTTTTTAGGAGACTGCACGAGCTACAGTATGACAATAGAAGCAGAAACCGCAGATGCAGGGAAGGACGATTTGTTTGCTGTGTCCAACCAGCAGTGTTGGTTTTTCGTGTCCTGGCTCCATCCCTCTCCCAGGCGTTGCTGTTGAAGTAGATTTGCGAGGTCCAAGGTCTGTGTACCTTAGCGACTTGGTTAGATAGGACTTCACTGCCTTTCCCGGGTGGCGCCGAGTCTCACTCCTGTCAGGGTGAGCCAGTGCGAGTGCCTGTTTCCACCCGGCCCGGCCAACACAGGTCTGTGAAGCGCTTTGACCTTTGCCGGTCGGATAAGTAAAAATGGCTTTCCTTCGGAGATTTAATCTGCATTCCTCTTATTTTTTATTTATTTTTTTTACAGAGAGGAAAGGACAGGGATCGAGAGAAACATCGATGAGAGAGAAACATCGACCAGCTGCCTCCTGCACACTCCCCATTGGGGATGTGCCCGCAACCAAGGTACATGCCCTTGACCGGAATCGAACCTGGGACCCTTTAGTCCGCAGGCTGACGCTCTAGCCACTGAGCCAAACCGGTTAGGGCTGCATTTCTCTAATTATGCGTGTGCGTGTGTTTCTGGTGAGTCCTCACCCCTCCTGCGGGTAGAGAAACTGCTGCTCTCTCATTCACCATGTGCGTCCCAAAGATCTCAGACCCATCTGGCCATTGTAATAACCCTCCTCGTGGACGGTCCTTTCTGGCTTGCAAAATGCAAAGTGACATGACAGAGGCTCTGCAGACTCCAAACGTGTGTGTGTGTGTGTGTGTGTGTGTGTGTGTGTGTGTGGTCAGCTTCTCTCCAGATGTTGAAGAGCCATTGGCACTGCCTTCCTGTGAGCTTCCTGTCCATACCTTCCCCCATGTTTCTGTTGGGTTAATGGCCTTTTCATTTATGTTTTATTTTTTGTAGGAACTCTTTACATAGGGAGGGAGGTTCGTGCCTCGCGGTAAGACTCGCAAATGTTTTCCTAATCGCTCCTCTGTGGGTTTTGCTTTGGTAGGTTTTGTGTGACGTCAGGATGTGTTCGCTACAGCATCACAGAGAGTTCTTTTGTGGGTTCTGGCTCCCCTTGGCCGCCATCCGGTGTGAACATGAACCCTCCCGGCTGTCTCCTCTGGCCTCTGCTGCGTCTTTAAACAGGCAGCGAGCAGTGCCGGACTTAAGACTCGAACTTACACCCTTCCCCCCACCCCCCATTCAGTGGTTCCCCTGGTTCCTGTCTGCGGGTCAGTGGATACATCTCCTCTCCCACCTCCGGGCCCTCTCGCGCCTTGCTGTCCCGATAGCCGTGGGAGCCCGCTGTCCCGTGGTCCCGGGCGGGACTCGCATGGCGTGAGGCTCCCCAAGGCCCCTGGACTCCCCTTTCTGCCTTTACCCTTATCGAGGGGAAGGGATGGGAGTGTGTTAAACGCAGGCAGGAAGGTGTTTCCCTCCTAAAAGGGGGGCTCCGTGCGTAAAGGAGTGAGTCACCAGGGGTGAAATTTCAGGCAGGCGGTGTGGGGGGCACTGAGCACCCACTGTGTGCAGCGTCCTTGCAGACACCCGGGGGCTGGGCACGAGGTCTGTGCCTTCTGGGAGCGTGTGCCTGGAGCGCCTGCCTCTTGGCACCTCACCTGGGGCCTGGCACACAGAAGGTTCTAGTGCGTATCTGGAGAATGAATGAATGAATGAATGAATGCTTCTCTCTGAAGGTAAATGAATGGATGAACTGTCATTAGAAGTGGCACAGGAGGTGGCAAACCAGATGGATGACCCCTGGCAGCTGGTGCCTTGGGGATGAGGGATGCATGGGGTATTTGCATTTTAAAGAGGACAGGGGAAACGCAGAAATGAGGATTTGGGGTACAAAGAATAAGTCCCTACCTATGCCCGCCTCCTCCAGAACCGCCCGGGGGCCGGGGGCAGCCTCCAGGGTCTCCTGCCCGCTTCTCTCAGTCCTCCGCACGCAGCCACAGCTGGGCCTCGGCGGTCTGACGCCACCCCTTTGCACGCGGGGACCCCGGGGCCCAGGTCGGGCACAGACCTGCCCAGGGCCAGGGAGCAGGTTGGAGGCGGAGCTGGAGCACAGGCCCCGGGTCCCCAAGGCTGGACGGCAGCCTGTGGCCCCCGGGGCTGGGGTCATCAGCCTAGGAGTTTTGGGGGAGCAGAGAGAGGGGCGGGGCTGCTCACCTCCCTGGGGGGCTTCAGCTTTTACCCTGCCTGGTGGCTTTGCAGGCTGTCCCCGGAGGGAGGGGCCCTGGGGACCAGCCTCTGGGTGCCTCTGCCCCAGGATGGGCCTCCCGGCCTTGGGCCTGGGCCTTCTCTCTGGGCTCATTGGCCAGTTGTCCTGCGAACCTGGCCTGTCGGTCCCTGTGGCCTGCGCCTCACTCCCCCGACTTGGGGGTGTACCGGCGAGCAGAGTGAGGCTGGAGTGTGGGGGGCTGGCCTGCCTGAACGGCGGGCATCGCTTGGTCCCATGAGGTTCCCCTAAGTGCCAGGCCTGTGCTGGGCAGAGCGGCCACTGGGCTCCCTCACAGCTCCCTCAGGGCCCGGACCTGGGCTCCCT